GTTATGGATGATCTATTATTAGAATGAAAGTATAAGGAGGATACATTTATTTGATATCTTATGCAAGAGAAAGGTGTCATCTGTGAGTATTTTTGTGAAATTTATGAAAAATTGAATATTTTATTAATTTATGAAACGATACGGTTTCACCTGTTGCAGTTCTCCATTTTTCATTATATAATGAGATGAAATTCATCAATCTTTCTCTGTAGCACTTTGACACCTAAAGTGTCTTACGTAAGGTAATCTCACTGGATGAGGTAAGTTTTTTATTTGAGTTTTCTATTTGTATTGAATTTAATTTATTCGATGACATAAGTAGATCAAACTTATTCCGCGACATTAAAAATCGCAATTCATTAATGAATTGAGTGTATTTTCTATAATGGTATCCAATTTTCTACTGAAGAGCCTTAAGGCNGGGTCATCCACGTCCATTTTAATATAATGGGACATCTAGATTAGCTGAATGATCAAAATCACAAATGCGTCCATGTTCTTTTTCATATTCAGCAAGAACTGTGCGGTTTTTAATATTCAGTTTTTTTGAGTTTCTCATGTGTTCTGAAACTCGTGTTTTAAGATACCGTCCAACATAGCATTATTGACACCTTCCACAGTTCAATTTGTACACTATATATGATTGTATTTCTTGTGGTGTTTTTGTTTTTGGTTTCAGCAAGAAAACAATTGTTTTCTTCTTTTCTTTTGGCAGTTATGTCCCAAAAACATCTTGAATATCTTTCAAGATGTTTTTGGAAATATTCAATAAAATATTTTTGGAATTCTAATTCAGTACATGGAATCTGCTTTTGTTGACCGCTGTTAAAGGCATGCAATTTCAATGAAATAGTAAAAGATTCCTAAGAGAAATGTGAAACCATAGCTATAGACGGAGGAATTTATTCCATGCACATTGGTCATATGTTAATCATGTGAAAGACGCAGATCACATTACAATGTTTAGATGTAATTAAAGGAAAAATAAATAATTTGTCACTCGACGAACAAAGGAATTCTGTGAAAAATATATCCCTAGCTGGTACTTCGACACTTTTAAAAACTGAACAAAATAGTGCTCTCTTTGAATGAAACATTGGAAAATTGCATCTCCCTCGACGGAAACGTTATCGACAACAAACTCAATTGTGGAATATCAAAGAAAAACGATGCTCCCCAAGATGGTCAGTTGCAATGCCAAGCTTAGACATTAACTGCCGAACGAGATTCGTCTTCTGTCATTACTTTCCGGTTGGTTCTTTTTAGGATAGTTATGTGGTTCAGCCTAGCACCACTGATGATACCTCAGCAGATCGAAAAGGCACTGCCTGGCGTTGGAGCACAGGTTTTTCTAGTTTCTTAGCAATGAGAGCTGCTGTGAAACAGCATTTAAACAGCGAACAATTCTAGTTTGGTGGTCAATGTCGAAGCTTGGCTTTGCAACTGACTGCCTGAGGATATTTGAGGATTGTTCTCTGTCGATCCTATGAATGTCGTCTCCGTGGAAGTATATGTCATCGGCTTACCATTACCATTATCTTGTTTAACTAGGACCACGAGTTACACCAATCTCAGTCCGATTAATGGCCACACTGATGCTATTCGGTTCAATGTGCAAAACGGCTGAGTTCCAAAACCAGAACACACAAACTAACAGAGAGAGTATACGTTTATCATCAGCACGTTTTTTATTTCCTTTCATTCGTTTCTTTCAATCCTATTTGAAAATGTTGGAGGTGATTCAGACACATAATATATTTATACACGACAAAAAATGAGAAGCTTAAGGAAGTCTTGAATATAGGCGAGACCAGGGATACATTGAATAATTTTTGGTTTCTCAAATGTCGAAAAAACTGCACTACAAATACAAAGTTGAACATNTATATAAAAAAAAGGTGAATGTATAGCAATGGACTAGTGAATTGTGGAGTTCTTATATTCTTCTATTGAATAAAAGCAATGTTCACTCAATGTTTTTTTAATTTTTTTCTTAAAAAGATACATGCTGAGCTTTATTAGGCCTTCATTAAGTTTATTGTACAAATTCAAGTTGGTAGAGTTGGAAGAAGACATTTTTAGTCTGAAACTGTTTGGCCTCACCTGACTATTATTTTGGATGGGATAGTTGTGGAAGTCTGAGTTCAACTTTAGATTTCCTCTATTTCTGTACAATTCAATAACTGTTTGATATAAATAGATGCAAGGAATAGACATTATTCGATTTTTGATGAAAAGTAGCCTACAAAGTTGGTCGTAGCGCGTACCTTCAATTATTCTCAATGCCCTTTTTTGCAACTTGAATACTCTTGTTGCCTGACTAGAATGCGAATGGAAGAGGAAGTGGTATGTAGTCAATAGCACATCTTTGTTCACAATATTTTTCAGTTTACGCAGCAAAAATAGTTGGCTAGACAGTTTGTTGCATAGTTAGATGGTTTATGTGGCTATTCCACTTCAATTCATCATCGAGAGTTATCCCCAGAAGTTCAGCAGTGGATCCATTCGAAATGTTTTTATTAGAGGAGAATATGATGTGCTGGGTCTTAACATTGTTCATTTTGAGTTTATTTGTCGTAAACCACAGTTCTGCTCTAGAGGCCGTAGTCGCCATACGTTCATTGAGTACTTGTCGACTATAATGCGAATTTATTAATGAAGTGTCGTCACCAAATGCAATACACATATCCGGAAACAAGTAATGAAATATATCATTGACATACATGGTGAACAACAATGGCCCAAGTACGGATCCCTGTGTCATGCCATGGTCAGTATAAGTCCGTAGCGAAGTAGTTCCGTTGACAGATACCACTTGTTGACGGTTTGGTTAAATATGATTTTAAGAGATTCAGAGGGGTTCCTCTTAGCCCATAGTGCTCAAGTTTTGCCAGCAGCAGCTCATGTGAGACACAGTCAAACGCTTTAGATAGTCCGTTGATCTCTCATCTTTCAGCCACGTCAGCGATTCTTTTCTCGTGTTCAGATGCATTTGAAACATTTCAATTATTGTCATCGGAACTGTTCGATTTCCATTCTTCACACTCATCTGACGATTTATCATCCAAAACATTCCCCTTTGCTTCATCTCTTTCGAAAACTCTCCTCTTTGACCCCTTATCAACAAGTCCTGTTTTTGCCTCCTTCATTTCCAGTTTTGATGTTTTCTGAACTTCTCTTTTCTAACAGCTATTTCAGTGACTATAAAACTTTTGTTTTTGAGTTCGACGCGCTTGTTGATGGACGCTTTTCATCATTTTTATTCTCTCCTGAAACTCCAGCAACAGTCAAAGGTTAGTCCGTTACATAAAATGACACGTAGTCTGCCTGTCCTATCAAAAGGTGAAGTACCGGTGTATTTAAAACCTGATGTAACGTTCTAAAGATTTTTTACATGGTTTCGTGCAATACAGCATATTGCACAGCATAGATCATAAATTGTTGGCGTTTCACCTGAATTAGATGACACCCAAAAACTTTGATTGAAAAAGTTTTGAGCATTCCGTAATTTATTTGAAGTATGTGTCGGAAAAGTTAAGATCACCATTCCATTGGTCCTACTGTGATCGAGTATTTCAATTGAAAAATAGGTTCATAATTATCCATTATAAGGAGTACTCTATGTCATTCACAAAATGTTTCAATAACTGAACAAAATTGTTCTCGTGTCTCTGGTCACTCAACGTTTTTTATCAATCAATCTAATAGCCCCAGTTCCTGGATTGAAAGTAGATATCCTAGCTGAACTCGTGGCCTCAGGAAATCTAATAGATAACAATGGGTTTTTTTCATGAATCCTGAAAACCAGTATTCACACACCGTTTGATTCATAACCCAAGTGTCGACCATATTCAAATGCTAGACGTTTTACGGCTTTTGGTGTTAAACCATGGAATATGGTAGTACACTGTAACAGGTATTACACAAGTTAGTTTCATATTCATTGGTGAATATTTGCCTATGTCAAAATTGGATGGAAAGTTTTCTACACCAACCTACCTCGTTTTTTTTCACATAATTAGCGACTGCGGACTTTTTTACATCTCAGAATGTAGCAACAACCCTTAAACTCAATTCTTCTTTTATTACAGTCGATATAGCCCTTTTTATGACATTTTCCGAAAAATCACGGTTCATCACCCTTTCGTTACAGTAGAGCTTTCTACTGTGCTTTCGTATAGTACTGAAATAATAAAATTATTGCCCCAATCCATCCTCATGTTTCGAAAGATGATAAAAACATTTTTAAAAAGATTGCACTAACTGTACCTTTGATGTGGAATAACTATAAGATGTACTCAACTAAAAATTGAGTCGAATGTTAATGTCCGATATCATATTATCGAAATTTCAATAAACAAACAAAACCGTATATGATTTTCCACGAATGGACTTTCTATACGTGTGGATATTCACTATAAAACATGTCACTAGAGCCATCTTTGATGGTAATTTGAAACGTTTAACTGCTACAGGGCCCGAATTATAAAACTACCTGTTATATCCCCGTGTCCAATCTATCCCCGGTCTCTCCTACCTATCTATCTTTAAATAAATCGTAGTGCTTTAGTTCCTTTGAGTTTAAACTCCGAAATATCCCATTTTGTTCTAAAATCATCACAATCTCTGAATTTATCTACTTAATATTGCTGAAATTAAGAAAGTTGAATAAGTAAAAGTTGTTACGATTTTGTGAATAATATAACATTCATAGACTTCTAATCTTCCAGCAACATTTCTTAATTATAGAAAAACTTAAGTGCCATTATTTTTTGAAGAGATTCATTGCTAACCCTGTATACATAAGAATCAACCGTGAGAAATAGTGAAACAATAAATATTTCGTTTCAAGTTTAAGATTCATTCTCGTAATTCAAGAAATTTCACACAGTGAAGAATAGCAACTATCACTTTTATTTCTCTCAACGTCTTAACTATCAGATTATTAACAATTTCCTCATACCTAATAACATTATGTTTATTCAGAACTTTTGTTTCAGGATCACAGTGGACATGTATAGGGATATTATTTTTAAACTGGGTAAGTACTGCAATATTTGTATTCATAAATGTTTGATAAATATTGTCGTCATTAAGCACCATACTAAAACTCCATAATAGTAGGCATTACATTCTCAGAAATATCATTGCATTAAAACGAAAACATTATTGTCAGGTTGTGATTCTATAAATTTCATCATCATATATATTTTATCAGATGATGAAACATATAGAATCACAACATGACAACAATGTTCTCGTTTTAATGCAATAATATTTATTTTGTATAGTGAAATGTTCGAAATAAGACTTCAACCTTTAATTTTGTTTATAGAATGATATCTTATATTTTGAAGGAACCCAAAATGGTAAAATAACTCATCTGAAATTTTGAATGGTCGAATTCTTCTTTTTAGAGGAAATCAGATTTCAATATGATTTCAGCAATTGATGATTTGAAAAAGATCTGTGGTGAAAAACTGCAAATTTCATTGCACTATAACCTTCAGATAGAGATACGTCATAGCTGGTGTCTGCAATGTACAAAATTATTTTTTTTATTATACCGGTCAATTGGGGTGACATTGCCCAATTTTAAAATTTAAGTTGATAATTTTCACACAACCCATTTTTTGAAATCCTAGATGAAATTTTTCCCTTCGGAAGGTGGTTTGTAGATGTGATTTATGTAGTTATTTTATTTTTATATCTTTCCCCCTCTCGAATGAAAAATAAAATATGGATGTTTTCTTTGTATAANAGCGCATTTCGATGACGTTCAATAAATGACCTATACTAGTCATCACCCGGTAGGACACCACCTGTGAATTTCCGAACGGTGCGACCACAGTGCTGCAAATAGTTTTGAGCTATTAATCTTACATCAATAGCTCCAAGAGGCATCTCCCAATAAGCGCAAACTAAAATTTGGTTTAGGATTTCCAATTCCTCCTGTGGGGTTAAGGAGGTCTGCCCAGCAGGTATGCCTACCCATTATTTTGTTTCCCAGGGTCTTTCTTGGGAAGTTCTGCTTCTACGCAGCAGATCGTATGGACATTTTCTTGATATTCACATCCTCTATTGCCTTTTCCAGGGTTTCTGGTGAATAATTAATATAGGCACGACGACCAAGTTTCGGTTTGTAAACTCTGGGCATCACTCTGAAACAGAAAATAACTAGTACAGTTGCCAGGACTGTTGACAGAATACTTACTTTATCTGAAGGTGGAAAAAGTGAAAAAACTAAAATTACAATGTTATTTCGATCACCAATTGGTGATAGTACTTATCTGGAACGACCTACCAACTATAGAATATCTCGTTGTCATTGAGGAGGTATGTTACATTGACTGCAGCGCCTCAAACGACCTTTCACCTATTTATTATGGGGGCGCGAAACTGTTTTTTCAAAACTGGGCAAAGCAACCCCAGATGACAAAGCCATCCCAATTGACGGCAATTTCAGAATAAAAAGTATTTTGAAGAAGGATCCGAAGTTTTATGCTCTTGACACCGATTTTCTGCCAATCTGCCAAATTTCAAAATGAAAAATGTTCAGTCTAAAATGAATATTAAATGATTTCAAATTAGATGAAAAAAAATCTTGAATATATGTACACTGTATTAGTTTGAAAACTTCCTACCCTCAATATCTCCCTTCCAGTAACTAACATGAGGAATCGAAAAAGCAGTTCAATTTTATAGTCAAGAGGGACATTTTTAAGGAATATTTCTAGGCCTCGTGGTTCTACCCCCAAGGAGGGGTAGATGTTACTCTTTTAATATTAAATGGGAAAGGTGGATGAAGTGATACATAATTTTGATTTGTGTTTATTTCTGCTTCTAATGATACCCTGACAATTTATTTTTGATGAGCAGTTTCCGAAATATTCCTTGAAAGTGTCCCCCTTGAAAATAAAACCGACCTGGTTTTTCGATTCATCATATTGTTTGCTAGAAGGAAGCTATTAAGGGTGGGAAGTTTTCAAATTGACACCCTGAATAGATAATTCACAAGTTGGACGAGTCATTTGTATTAATATTTATGATATTTTTCATTCCAATGTTGAAGTTCTCTTCAGAATTGAAGTATAGTTATTTCAAATAAATGTTCATCAGTTTTAAGAAGTAACAGTTTTTCAAGAATGTATTCAACTTTACTACTTTCCTTGTTTTCAATTTTTGTTGTGTTTTTGTTTTCAGGAATTGTTATTTCGATCTTGGTCCCTTACTCCAATGAATCATCGGTAAGTTTGAGAAAAGTGACATTGATTTTATTATTCGTAATGCAGAATCCAGCACATTCTGTCAAACAGTGGATGTAAAAATCTTTGTTCTACTTGTAAATTCAACCAAATGAACTGTTTTTATTAGGAGCGACTCGTGGGCAACTCTTATAAAAACTTAGAGTAGGTACAATGTTTTCAAAGTTGATTTCAACCAATGATAAATGTAAATAGTTTTTCAATTGGCGCGGGTAGATTTTGACGCCCCGTGGCGGCCATTCTGTTTTGGTGACATCTGTCAAATCTTTTGTTTATTATTCAGTTCTTTATGCCAAATCTTCATGGCAAGTTACACGATTGAACAGCACGTTCAAATGATAAAACTTTATTATCAAAATGAGTGTTCGTTAACGCAAACGTTGCGCGCATTGCGCCCATTTTACGGTAGACGTGGTGGCCCTTCACAATCCACTCTTCAACGTTTGGTGGCCAAATTTGAGACGACCGGTTCAGTAAACAATCAGTCAACACCCGTACATTCAAGGAACGCAAGATCTGCCGAGAACATCGCCGCGGTCCGTGAAAGTGTTCAGCAGAACCCGAGGCAGTCTATTCCTCGCCGTGCACAAGAACTCAGCCTTTCGCAAACTTCAACTTGGCAAATTTTGCGTCAGGACTTGGACCTACACCCGTTCAAGATCCAACTGAACCAGGAGCTCAAAGTTCATGACCATAGACAACGCCGTTTGTTCGCTGACTGGACTTCAAATCGTTTGGAAGAGGACCCCAATTTTGGCCAAAAAATCATCTTTAGTGACGAGGTGCATTTTTGGATGAATGGCTGTGTTAACAAGCAAAACTGCCGTATACGGGCTGACACCACGCCATGCGAGGTTCACCAGATGATAATGCATCCTCAAAAAGTTACCGTTTGGTGTGGATTTTGGGCCGGCTGCGTAATTGGTCCGTACTTTTTTTAAAACGGCGTTAGTGAGGCGGTTACCGTCAACAGCAAGCGCTACAGAACGATGATGACTAATTTCTTATGGCCCAAATTGAACCATATGGACCTAGACGACATGTGGTTCCAGCAGGACGGCGCTACGTGCCACACAGCAAACTCCACGATTGACATTTTGCATGAATGATTTGAGGGTAAGGTTATCTCTCGCAGGGGTGATGTGAATTGGCCACCAAGGTCATGCGATTTGACCCCGCTAGTCTTTTTCCTATGGGGTTTCTTGAAGTCGCAGGTTTATGCAAATAAACCACAATCGACCGATGCCCTAAATGTGAACATAACACAGGCCATCGCTCAAATTCAGCCGGATCTATGCGAAAGAGTTATTGAAAATTGGACCACTCGGATCCGTGCCACCGTAAGAAGCCAAGGCGAGCATTTGAATGATGTCATATTCCACACTTAATGGCATACATGCGCCATTCAAATAAAAAAAAAAAATTTTGTTAATACCTCACACACACAGCTTGTTTTATTCCATTTCAACATCTACCCGCCCTTATTGAAAAACCTTTTATATAAAAGGACTTACATTATTCTACTGTAAGACATGGAAATCACATCACCCCTCTTACGAAGACGTCATATATGGGATTGACAGAGAACTCAATCTTTCAATTTCAAAGGTTCCAAGGCGATCATTTACAAAGTCAAGCTTCGATATCGACCGCCGAACGGGATTCGACATATATCTTTCTCAGCAGCCTCAAATGTAAGGCAGATAGTTGAGAATAGAGCCCAAACAGAATGATGCATTCGTGATCCTTTAAGGCCAGTTGAGTCCAGCAATACATTTGTGGTTCAACCTAGCACCACTGATGAGGACATAAGGCAGTTCGAAACAGTGCGATCTGGTTTTTGATCACGAACGCATTGTGTTTCGGACACGGTTTTAACTAGTTTGAATCTACATTAATAGAAATTGATAGAAACTAACCATTTTTGCTGTTAACGTATTGACAATAATGAACGTGTTAATTGTAATTCAGAATACACATTACAACTGCATAGCTCTGTAACAGTTTTCTGCGCTATTTGTCTTAATCAATACAGTTACCGTAAGTTCTGCAGTATTGATTATTTATGTTTTCAATGACAAAACACTTTTGATAATTTTATACAGACCATTTTGTTGGAGAATAACTTTGTTGTATAAGACTCTTTTGCTTTATTCAAATCGTGAATGTTTATCAGGACTCTATCGACAACACTGAAAGTTATAGTGCAGCTCAACGCATATTTCGTCAATAATTTTGGCGGACTATTCGTGTATTGGTAACTCTGTATCATGCAATTCATTCAGTACGTAGACGTCATTTGTTGGGGCAACCATTTCAGATTTCTTTCCAATATCAGATCATCAGATTATAATTATTCATAAACGTCCTTATTGATTACGAGATATTTGCGTTAGGAATATTTCTCACGAAAACTGTGATCCTTTCTATTTCGGGATTTTGAAGTTGTTCTTGAGTATTGGACCTAGGAGATCGAGTCGAGTATTCAAGCATGATACTATCTATTTCAGTCTTCATTTCATTGCAGAAGTGACGTAACAGTGTGTCAACTACTTTATTGAATTTCTCTATTTATTATCAGTGCATAGGTTATATTACTTCAAAGCTAGAGACTGAAGGGCTAATCCACTACTTGGCGGCTTGAGCATCAACAGTCATTTCAGTGGCTGGTGATCTATTGAGATAATAGAATATGATACAATAGAATAGGTTAGGTTAGATTAGGTCCAAAGTGAACGAATCTTTCCGTTATCTGATTTCGTTAATCCCCTTTTGGAAATCATTCGACTCAAAGCCATTATTGCAGAATCCGTCGTCAGAGAATGTGCAATTTCTAAGTGAATAGGTTAGGTTAGGTTCAGAATGAGTGGGTCTATTCGACCGTCCACCGCAATCCGCAAGGGTTTATTGTGGCTCACACCTATTCACACTCGACCAAATAAACCCAGCTTCTCAACGAAGCCGATTAGTTTGTATGGTGAGTGGTCTTTCAGGTCAGATGTACCTTTAAATGTTGTCAAACCAAACCTAATGAGTACCTAACTTGTATAGAACGTGGAAAATGTTATCATGTATTATGTGCTGCAAAAGCTAAGCTTTCACACTCGACCAAATAAACCCAGCTTCTCAACGAAGCCGATTAGTTTGTATGGTGAGTGGTCTTTCAGGTCAGATGGTAAGAGTGCGGCTCCGCCGAACTCTAAAAACCTGATTCGGTCTCCAGCGGGGCAGGCACAAAGTATGTACTCTGCTGTTTCATCATTTTCCAAGGAGAGGTGACACACACTGTCTTCCAGCAGTCCGAGTCTCTGCATATGATGATTCAAATGACAATGACCTATGAGAAGGCCTGTTAGACATCGTAGTTCATCCCTACTATAGTCCAACAACTGTTCGGTATCAAGCTTCGAAGGGTGAATAAACGCCTTGGAGTGAGCCAATCCTAGAAGATTCGACCAGAAGTCCATAAATCTTCTTGCCTTTCAGGTGTTAGTTACGTATGCGATATACAAAAATATATTTTTAAAAAGACTTTATTTTTAACAAATATAACATTACAGTTCAAGCAAGGTAACAAGAATGCATTATTATTAAATTAACAATAATTTATAAGTTTGGGGAGAGGAGAGGAGAGGAGAGGAGAGGAGAGGAGAGGAGAGGAGAGGAGAGGAGAGGAGAGGTCAAACAGACCGGTCATTGTTAAACAGACATAATTAAATTTTTTCAAATAAAACACCCTGTATATTTTCATTTGTATAAAATGTTTAGAAATTTCAGTACATTTTTCATCAGAAGTATGCTATATGAAAATCTGATATTTTACAAATTATACAAAGTTTTAGTAATTGTTGTAACCACAGAAAATGTATTTTCTTACGTTCACTTACTCAAATTTGCTGACGCCCAGTTCTTTTGCCATCCGACGCACCGGTTGTGATGGGTCAGTCTTCACCACGGTACTCAAATCTTCATTCTGGATTACTGTAGGTTGACCATTTCGGGGCTCATCTCCGGAACGAAATTTCTCAAATCATCATCAAACTTCATTAACAGTATACTCACCAAATGCCTGGTTAATTCTTCGCGTTGTTTCTGCAGCGCTTTGGTTCAATTTGAGTTCGTAGAGAAAAATTGGCCGGAAATCGGTTAACGACATCTTATAGTAAGTAATAAACCGAAAAGGGTCAGAAAATGAAATTTGGAAAAAATTAACAGTGACAATGTATAGAGTACAAAATTCTACATCGATAAGTATATACCAATACACAAGAAAATATATTTACTGACATATGGAGCTACAAAACACACGACATCAAAACGGACAGAACTTTTGAGCCAACCTAATAATTCAACATTGCATTTAGAGTAGTTTGATACACTCACATGAATATCGCCACAATTTTTTTCCTTTTGAAGAGCTTGTGGTACGTCTGTTTTTCCACTAAACCAACGGAATTGGTTTGTTTGCGGTGAAGTGGCGAGGCCACTTGATAACTATAACTTATAAAAAAATAGTTTGGATAAGAGTTGCCATCCAATTGATTGGTGTGTCGTTGAAATGTCCCATTTAAAAGATGTCGTCGGTTGAAGTTGGAACGGGAACATTTTATATTTTTTTGTCATTTAGTTTTCTTTGAATTGAGGTTCAACTCCAATCATGAATGGCTGATCATCATCACAAGTATTTCTGGTTGCTAATTTTGTAACCCAAACGTTACTGAACTTGTTGTGTGTTCTTCAACGAATTTCTTTATAATTTCCTCCCGGATTGCGTCCGGAACCCTGAATAAGAACAACTCAATTGAGTTATCTGCTTTTTCGTGACCATATAGATTTTACTTTGAATTTCAAGCCAAGTAGCACTCTACATGTATTATAATATTTTTTTCAGTTGGATTATGTAACTGATGACAGCAACAGCTACGGTGTTACTGAATCTTCTCACGTATCAAGAGAACCTCCAATATTCTATCAAGGAGTGGAAGGTACTCCTGGAGTAGACTTTCCCATTTTCTCGCATATTCCCAAAACAATATTCAGTTGCAGGGGCCTTGAATCGGGGTATTATGCAGATTTAGATACGGATTGTCAGGTAAATAACATTTTTTTGTATTACCCTAGTGAGGTTGTAACCATAGGTTACATAAAACGTTACATAGTTCTAGAGGGTTCGGCAAAAATTTAATAAGGACTATTCCTTGGACTATTCTATAGTTAGATTTTTCATTACTTGGTAGGTCCAGTGTAGTACGCTATACTTTTCTTTCGGCTACGTGATTAATTTTAAAATTACCAACATTGTTATCGTCGAAATTCTTTTTCGCCCCGTATCTTTTAAACAAAGCACCCCATCAAAAATCACCAAAGGACAAAATATCCTTCGAATAGCCCAAGAAATAATCCCTTAATTTTTTGCCTCATGTTTAATATACACCCTGTATACATTTAGAAATTAGATTGATTCTCCGAAATAAGTCATCTCTTGGTGAAATAGAAAAAATGTGAAGTAGCTTTTGAATTGGTGCTTTCTAATGTATCACGAATTGTTCCATATTTTGGAATATTTGATATTATCGATGACGGCATTTGCCTGACAGGAATCATCAAGAAATTGGGTTAGCATCTGAACTTAAAATAAAGTATGTCCATCTTTTCATTAAACTACTTTTTATTGAAAGTAAACACTTTTTATTAAACGGTTTTATTTAGCTTGCCCTATTTGTTTGTTTTTTTCTTCTCTTATGAGACATTTGTAAATCATGTATATATAGCCTTCACTTTTACATTTTGGGAAAATACGCAGATTCTTGAAACATCCACTCTCTATGGCAGTTTACAGGCATGAATCATTTTGAACGATTATTCAGTCAAACTCATCAATATTTATCGGACATTCAATTCCGCCTAATGATATTCCAACAAACTGAGAAATATTTCTATAATTTATAATAAAAACTAGTTATTTCAATACCTGAAATTGGATCCATAAAATACATTCAATGTGCAGATATTTATTTTTATTTTTCTTCATACAGGGTATAACCTCCACGTGTGTGTTCATACTCCTATTGTATAATGAATCTCGTGTTGCGGTTTTGTGAACTGTTCACTGAGAATCTCACAATGAAGTTTCTTGAAAAAAAAAAATAAATATATCTTGCTAATTTCCTTCAAATACTACAAATTACAAAAAAAAATTGTATACGTTGGCGACATTCTTCCATGTAACCAACGTTATGTAACATAATACGTTATGGATTTTCATCAAGGATCGTTCAATTCTATCACATAATTTGAAGCTGAATCCAGAAAATGAAATCCTGGAAAAGAATTTATTCAAATCATTTTCTAATTATTCTAGTCGATAATGATATTAAGATGACGACCCAGTTAGATGGTGAATTGAGTGTTCTCACTGTAAATGATGAAACATTCTGTCACAAAACCTTTAAATGTTGTCAAACCAAACCTAATGAGTACCTAACTTGTATAGAACGTGGAAAATGTTATCATGTATTATGTGCTGCAAAAGCTAAGCTAAATGTATAAAAATCTGTGATAGCAGAATTAACTGCTGTGATTTCAATACGAAACTGAGATCTGAATCAAATAATTTGAATGAAAATATAAAACTCAGGGCCTGCCCTCAGGTTTTTTCTTTTTTTCCTTTCCCCTAATTTTTTCCTCTCCCCTAATTTCAATCTATTATAATATACGTTCCGAGAATCCACTTTTTCACATCTTTCTTGAATCTGATTTTATTATTATTATTTCTAATATTTTCTGGCAATGCATTGTATATCCTGGATTCTATATACGAAAAGGTTCTCTGCCCTATCAATTTGTGGGCGTTTGGAATATTAAAATTATCTGCAACTATTGCCCTCGTTATGACTTATGGAAAATGAAATGTTGAAACAACTCCTCAAATAAAAGGAAGATAAGTTTAATCTACTCATGGAAAATAATAAGCTGTTGCAAATCAACAATATATAGTTTATTATCAGAAAAAGTAGAATCAATGAACATTGAAAGTAACAAAAAAACAAGGGCAAACCCAAAAAAATACAGTAATGCGGCAAAAACAAACTCTCCGATAAATACCACTAAAAAGACGTCTGGCTTTTTTTTAAGAGAATCCCAGTCAGTTAGATAAAAAGGATAGTGACCTGTGGAAAACATTGTATCAATCGAGAATGCCCAACTGGAAAAAATGCAAGAAATTATTAACCTCACCAACAATGAATATGGTGATAGACCTGAAAATTATTTCAAAACGGTTTTTTACAGGAGAAGGAGAACAAACAGAAGACCAGCACACAATATTGGAGAAAATGCCTGCAATGATGAGTTCGGAGTAGAAAAGAAAGTCTGATTGTATTTGTACAGAATCAGACGAACTATCACTGTAGAAAAAATATCTGGATATGTTAAGAATTTAGATTGCCTTAAAGGTGCAGAGACTATAATAAAGGAATTGCCCACTAATGAAAACCAAAATAAATGCTTCATGTTTGGAGTAAATGAACGCTTCAAAGATGTGGTCTAAATGACCCAGTAGCATGGCTTTTAAACTATTTGATTTTCAAAAATATCACTGATACCAAAGCAATCGGGATTTTTAAATAGTGATCTACCTAACGACACTTCATCTGTTGGAAAAAAGGAATTCAGTCTCATTCACCACAATCTTCAATCGAGTTGAAACCTTATTCACTTCAGGACTATCTAGATAATTTATAATCCTTTATATAAAAATTGTGTAACGTTGTTTCATTTTATGTTTGATGTTTCTACATGAAATGTAGAGCATTCTCTGAAATATATTATTATTATCATTATTTTTTCACCGTAGTGTGCGCTGGTCAGCCCCTATCCCCCGAAGCCCCGATACATTCGGGAAGGTGCGCCAGCATTATCAACCAATGACCACTCCCCACACCGTGGGGTGAGTGATCATTGGGTCCAAGAATCATGTGCCCTGAGCAAGCGCAGTGAGCCAAGAATGACAGCCTTCTGCATCTGTGCGGCTAAGATTTCTGCCTTAGTGCGGCAAGCCGATATGATTTTAAGATTCGAGAGTAGAGAGGACATCATTCTACCAATGACTTCAATAATCAGAACAACCATCTTGACAGAGTGATCTGGATAGAGTCTGCGGAGTTTGAATAGAAAATCTCGATATTTTATCCGTTTTTCCTCCTCTTTTCTGACGATATTCGTCTCGCCAGGAGCTGAAAACTCCACGACAAATATCGTTTTGCTCTGGTGGTCGAGAAGGACCACAACAGGCTTATCAGCTTGTATGAGCCTGACGTTGGGGAACGGATAGTTCCAATAAATTCGGCACTTCTCGTTCCCCACAAAGGATTCAATGTCCCCCGGAGCGTAGGGCAACACCGGCGTCTCGTCAATACCGTAAGAGTGCTGTAGATGGTAATATTGCACCCCATGCATTGGCTTATCCTTGTGTTTCCGGTAATCTCTGCGGCTTTTATCTGAGCTTTTTGCTGAACAGGTTCTAACTCGATGACAGAGTTGTGGCCACCTCGTTCAGTGTCAAAAACTATACCGAGTTCATCAGCTGCTCGGGCAACTGCCCTAAAGAGAAATGCTCCAATATGCATGGTGATCCCCTTCTCTGCATGGTCCGTGACCATGCAGAGAACGGGATCCGAATAGGTGATCTCTGCGGCTTTTATCTGAGCTTTTTGCTGAACGGGTTCCAACTCGGTGACAGAGTTGTAGTCACCTCGTTCAGAGTCGAAAAATATACCGAGTTCATCAGCTGCTCGAGCAGCTGCCCTAAGGAGAAATGCTCCAATTTCTGCTCTCTCATGGTCACGGACCATTATTATTATCATTATTATTATTATTATAGAAAGTACTTTCAAATTATGGTTCGAAACTTCTGAGAATACTTATGAAATTACTGCAAAGTCCAATCAAGTACCTACTTACCTGGTTTGGAGGTAAGTTCCACATGTAAATGTGGATAGATAGATATCCCAATGAAGTAATTCCATGTTGAATATTTAGAACGCTACATGCAAGATTATGTGAAACTGAAAATTTCAATCAAAATGCAGAAACTGTAACAACACCTGAACCTGAAGGAGCTCTACTTAATGCGATAGAAGAAGTTTTTTCAAATAGTATAAACAAGATAGCACTGCAGTTTTTGAGTCAGTCCAAAACCCATTCATAAAGTTGTGAAAAAAAAACCTCCTGTATCTATTACGAATACCGCGGATCCAAGTTCTACTACCTGATGATTTGCTGGTGGTTGATTCATACGATACACACAATAATAGTTTTTCACCGAATATTCTATCTATTTCCAGCAGTAATTTGAGGTGAACGCTAGGCTAGGAATTAGTGGTGACTACGTAATCGGTCAATTTTTCCACTGGCAAGATTAACAGGTGAATCCTACATGAAATTTCGGAATACTGTTTAGTTGGATAAAGCACCCGTATTTGTAGGAGTCAAGCATGTGATTCATGCACGATGGGGCTACACCTTATTTAAGTTTTCTTGCTCGTCAGCATTTCAACCTATCCCAAGCGCTGGCTTGGACGTACAGGACCTCAAAATTGTCCAACTCTCCAGCAATCTTCGGAATTGATATGATGAATATTTTTTTAGTTTTTGGTACATTATCAACATCATTTTTTTTCAACATAACACATTTTTTTACCTATTTCATTTTCAAGTTTTTGATTTCTAATTTTTATCCACCCTAATGCCACACATTTTTCGGGGCATTTTAACCATTTACCTTTACTTGGGTGGAGTATCGCTAACGACGTATCAGTTTTAGCCACTCTAACGCCACACAGTCCTCGACACGATACAAAATCTTGACTTGGGTATGAGATACATGCTTGTATCCCGATTTTAAGTTGACAAAGATCTTTGTATAGAATATATAGAATTTGCATCTTTCTCAAATTGTACTATTATTCTACTAGTCAAGCTCTGTCTTTTGATAGCCATATGGGGTTAGTTGTGAAAAAATATGTAATCTGCCATTTTGTAGCTGCGGCCATTTTGAATTTGCATCTTTTAAAATTTTACTACTATTCTACTAATCAAGCCCTGTCATTTGATACTCATATTGAGGTAGTTGTGAAAAAATATGAAATCCGCCATTTTGTTGCTGCGGCCATCTTGAATTTCATCTTTTCCGAAGTATACTACTATTTTACTAGTCAAGCCCTGCCATTTGAATCTTTCTTCATCTAAAGTTTTGAACACAATATCGTCGGTTACACCACAATATATTACAACACAACCCATCAATAATGGAAAGCCGTTTTTGGGAACTAAATTTGTGTACCAAATATCAGATCAATCTGTCAACAGAAAAGGGTCATACTTCAATTACTAAATTTGTAAGTGTAGGATTTGAGAAGTCTAAAGAGACATTCGTCAACAACATTTCATTTCTCCTTGCATGATTCAATTATAGGATCATTGAAATTTGTGAAAATTCTGCAGCAACTTATATGAATATAATTTCAATCGTCCGTAATAGCATTCTAAAATATTTCGAATATTTTCTGTTTCTGGTTATTCTAGAAATTCATAAATGTGTGGAAGTATCTCTTTGTAGAAAAGGACAGTGTTAAAATAACTTCTAATTTTTACAGTGAAATTATATAACATCAACCCCAAAAATAAATTTGCATAAAATATCAGGAAATGTAATATGTAATATAATATAATGATAATAACAACGATACAAATACAAATGCAATACAAATATATGCATGAATAATGAGATTATTTGTGCTAGTGCCTCTGCCTAAACCATAATGGCTTGTGCCGCAGTACCTATTACCAACACTCTCATCCCATTAATAATAGTGTGAACATAGATATGCAATTTTTTTGTTATTGTTGATAGAGTTGTGCGGGGGAGAAATAGAATCATACAGTGTTAGTTAAAAAAAGTACTTTGAAGATGGCTATGTTGAAGAATATGTGCTTTTGAGTCTGCTTTAAATTTATGAAGATTTTTACATTCTTTCAGTTCGTTTGGGAGGCTGTTGTATATTTTTGGGCCAAAATAAAGGATATTTCTTTGAGTGTGAGTTTTGCTGAATCTAAGAACTTTCAGTGTGAGATCAGTGGTATATCTTGTGGCTCTATATTGGTGAGCATATTGTTGAGGTTTTTGTTTAAATGTCCAGATCAAGGTTTGTAGGATATATAAATTGCGAATATTTAAAAGGTTTGTTAGTTGATGCAATTCTGATGTGGGGAATCATCTATCTTGCATATGATTTTGAGAATGGTTTTTGAATAATCTGAGTTTTGTTTATAATGCTAGTAAATGCGCCCACCATGCTGTGATGCAGTATCGCAATACTGATTATATTAATGAATTGTAAACTACAAGTAGAACTCTTCTACTTAAAATATCTTTGAGAGTGTAGAATTTGTTAATAAGTTTTCTTACTCTGCTGACAAGGTATTTAATGTGATCATTCCACCTCATGTGCTGGTCCAGTATTACTCCTAGATATTTGATTTTTGAGACTTTCACTATTTTTGGACACTTACAGTTATCATTTCTTTCTAAGCAGCATTCATTATGCAAGAATAAATAATCAAGTCTGGGTTGATCCGGTTCTGTAAAAGGAAAAAGTAACGAATTTAGTTTTATCAATATTTAATGTTAGTAAGTTCGTGTTTAGCCATTTTTGTATTTTAATGAATTCATATGCAGCAGTGCGATACAACTCTGACCACTCATCGTGTGTGAAGATAATGGCGGTGTCATCTGCGTATGATATTATTTTTCCCTTGGAGATTTTTTATTTTGCAAATGTCGTTAATATAAATGGGAAAAAGTCATAAAACCAGTACTGTACCCTGAGGAACACCTGTGGTAACTATTGAGGTTTGCTTGATACATTTTCTATTTTTACTCTTTGAGTCCTTCCATTCAGGTAACTGGTAAATTAATCTAGCACTGGACCTCTTATTCCTAACTTGTTAAGCAGTATATGAAGTGATACAGTGTTGAAAGCTTTGGCTAAATCGAAAAAGACAACTAAACATTTTTTTGAAAGATCTAAATTCTTCAATACATCATTCGTGAGCTCTAGTACTACGTTTTCTGTGCCTCGGTTTTTCCTGAAGCCAAATTGTTTTTCCATAATCACACAGTTTCAATGCTTGTTATCTTCTATAACCTCGAAATATTGATTTGTTTATAAGTTAAAAATTCAGTTCAAATTGTAATGTTATTATTTTGTTCTAGGTATTTCACATTTGCGAGGAAGAGAAAAAAATATCATTTTTGTGTCCAAATGGTACAATTTTCCAACAGTCAGATCTGATTTGTGAATGGTGGTTCAAAGTTGATTGTACCAACACTCCAAATCTATACGAAGAAAGTGCTGAACAGCTGAGAAATGATAAATCAAGAAGGAAATCATATCGTCGGGTAATTTCAGGTGGACATGTCAATCATGGAGCCATCATGAGAGCAGAAGAAGTTTCATCCACTAGTGTGAAGAAATCGGGACACAAGTATGATAATTCTGACGGATTCACTGAAGAGACTTCGAAACGAACATCGTATAATTCGAATAACACTTCTAGACATGTATATGAAAAAGACGGAGGATATTCTGGGAAACTATACGAAAGTAATAAACAAGTAGTTAATGGTTCGTTAGGAAGAGCTCATAATTCCTTAAGAACATTCAACGACAATGCGCTAGCCCATTCAAAAGTTCGTAGATTCAATGATGATCAGACCGGAAATTATTTGAACCACTTTCAAGAAGACAAAAAAAATACCGATCGTAGTGATTCAAAGTCAGTGACAAATAAATTTATAGGTAATCAAAAGATGAAGAATGTTGTTCAGTTCCAGAAACATTCCAAAGAGTATCATGTACAGTTTCCCGTATCAAACACAGGTACGGATATTTATACAATTTCTGCAAGAAAGAATGAGGAACATGAATTAAAATCAAAAGAAGAATCAGTCTATCCAGATGAATCTAACGATAAGGTACGATCTGATTCTGATGAAACACAAATTACTGAAGAATCTTCATCTTTCACTAAAAATGTGTATAATAGTATTCAAGATGATAGTGCAAAAGTTTCAACTGTTAATCCATATCCGAACCATCGAATAACGTATTCTGATTTGAAAACCCCAAATCTTTCTTCATCTAAAGTTTTGAACACAATTTCGTCGGTTACACCACAATATATTACAACACAACCCATCAATAATGGAAAGCCGTTTTTGGGAAGCCGAGTTGGTATCAATATTACTACTACAGAAAGCCCATCTGAGGCGTTGCCAGTTTTTCTCGACAATAACCAAAATGCATCGACTAATTCATTATATATGAACAAAAAAAGTAAAGAATCTTCGAGACACAGCAACTCAACAAATCTGCCTATGGTAAAGGGAAGCAGTGAATATGTTCTCATCACTGGTGTAGTGAAATCTGAATCTGATGGTTTGACAATCAATTCATCGAATAATTCTCAGTTTAGCTCACCTTTGTCAACAAAACTGATTGAAAATGTCAGTTTTGCGAAAAATTCTAACTTTTCACAATCATCTACCCTACCTACAGAATTTGGAAATGAGAGAATATCAACTACGATAAGACCTCCACATAATTATAATTCCTCGGAGACAGCATTTAGGAAATCTGTTCCTAGTAATCAATCCATTCTTTTCAGTCACAATAAAGCTCCAAATCAAAAGGAAAAACTATCATCGCTCAACCCGTATGTTCCGACTTTGGAACTAACAACAAAAACTATCGATCATGCTACAGTTTATGGATCACCGGTGAAAATTAATCCAACGACACCATTTCCAACTCGTGTTGGGAATACAGTTCAAATAAAATTTGATGAAAACGTTGACAAAGTGGGAATTCATTTGACAAAATACATAACGAGTTCATCTTCAAAACAAGTAATGAACTTGAATAATACACCTTCCCGTGATAAAGAAGTACAGAGTTCGGTAAATTCAACCAAAGAATTCGAAGGACTCAAAAATATCATTGTTGATGATAACACGAATAGGTATTCCGATTTTGGTGAGGAAAATGAAATGGATTCTTTAAGAAACGAATTCGATATTGACAATAATCGTGATTCAGTTCCGGTGTCGAGATCGTTACTTGAAATTGACTTGAAAAACAAATCATCTACCATCAAAAATATTGATTCAGTTACAACGCCTACTCATTCAGAATCTCATACTTCTGACTATCCCATTCTATATGTATTATTGAGAAATTCAACTCAGCAACCCAGACCATTTGATAAATCTCATCAAGCCCTCTCATCTTCCAGATTCAATCCTAGTGAATCATACAGTTACAAAGTATCATCGGCTAGCCCCTTCAAACTTCCACTCACACCTGAGTCAATTCTACCAATAACCGAATCGACAGTAACACCAGAAATTTTCGAAAGGTCAAACAATATGCTGAATATTCTGAAGGAAATATCCAAAATTGAACAAGAATATCCATCCGAAACTCCTAGACCAGGTTTAGTTATTCCGCCATCTGTTGGACCACAGACCTTACACACATTGGCAATATACTTTGAAAATGCCCTTGATCAAATTGCATCCGAAAAAGGAGTATCTTCAGAGAATCGAGACAATGAAATAAGTAAAGAGAAGCTTACTCATCTATTAACCGAAATGACTAGACACGGGTATAGTCAATTGTTCACGGAAAACTTAGAAACCGACAAGTATACTACTGAATTAAGTAGCAGTACTTTAAATGCAGATGAAAACATAGATTTAGGGGCACAGACCTCAGAAAATCTTGTACAAAGTCCTAAAATACGAGAGCTAGCCAGAAATTTCACTTTAGCTTTGTCATCGTACTTGAATGACCCTGATATGTTCAGAAAGGATTTGCAAGATTTGAGGCCAACTGAACCTCCAGTAAAAAGTAACCAAGAAAGCACTTCTGATAATGAAAAAGGTAAATTGGTCGATGAAGAGCTTCTCAATTTTTCAGACTCCGATCCTAAACTGAGTCTTCCTGCAGTCTTTTCCACTACATCAACACCTTCATCCACGTGGTCTTTCCTTTTAGCGAAAAAAGCTACAAATCAGATAGAAATCGATAATTCATTGAATCCTGATTTGAATACCGCCGATACACAATCCTTTGTTCCCAGTTTCAACAATGTCAATGTAGAGAGTGATCAAAAACAAAAAAATACGTCAAACTTTCTCGGAAATCATTGGACTACTTCTCCTAGTGCCACAAAATTATGGAGAAATACTTTTTCAATAAACCCTGCCATTGTCAATGATCACTTGGAAACTGCGGTAACAGTATCAACTAGTACTGAAAGCGAATTCACAGAAGAATATCCACTGCTGGATCTGTCTCATGAAAACAACGAAAATTCTAAAGAAAATGAATATGAGTTCGGGTCTCTCAATTCCACTGAAGTGCACGGGCTGTTGATAGACTTCATGAATACAACAGATAGAGACTCAAACGTACTTCATAATATATTAAGAAAGATGAATATAACAGAAGATGAATTTCTGAAGAAGATGAGAGATATTGAATCTAATCCTCTAACTAGAAGATTGATATTACTATTGATTAGCGAGTGTGGCAAAGAAGCAGCACGAAATGCCGACTTCGAAACAGACCATTTACCTCTTGAGCGAACATTACCAGAAGATGATTCACAACAGCTTATTCATCCATCATTTTCTGGAAATAATGAAGACACAAGAGCACTTCAGTTATTGAATTCTTTATACAGTATAGCTTCAAAATTTAGGAAATAATATTCGTTCATCACAAACGCTGTTTCTGCTAATCAATTTTGGTTTCCTTATTCACTCTACACATTACAGTTCGGGATTATTCCTTTGCTAATACTGGTGCAGGCATTACGAAACCTATCAAATACTCAGTTATTACTTCTCTCTTATTATTTAGTAACATTCCTATTTTCTTCAATTTTGGGAAGAGACAGATAAAATCAATATTACTGAGTGTTCCGTTCGAATTCCCTGCCCAACTGAAGGAAAATTATGATGGAGCAAAAAGAGTTCATACCTTCTTCAGGGAGTTTTTTCGTAAATAATGTGTGGTGAATTTTTAAAAAAGAGACTGTACATGTACATATTTAAAATATCTTCTGTAGATACTGGAGTTGAATCTCCTGTAATGGATTCATTTGAATAATTTGTGAATTGTCACAGAAAACGGTTTTGCACAATTATTTTTTCCTCGAAACAACTCTATATATTAAAACTTACAGGTAGGCTTTGATGATGAATATATAATCAGACGATTTGTACAATCATACTTGCTTTTAAACCCAAAAGATTCTGCCACTGTTGATGATTGGTGGAAAATTAAAAGCAGCATTGAACTGTTTCAGAACATGAGCTAGATGGTGGATATATTTTAAATATTCTCACAATGCATACATTATAATTTGGTTCGTGACAATATACAGAAAAAAACTTGTAAAATTGTGTAGAATATATAGTGCTTAGACATTTTCGTTTTGCCAGATATCATACTGATTATTTTTGTCGAATACAATGAGGGTATCATTTCAAACAATAAATGCAGAATGTGAATGTATTCTATATCAATCTTTGTATTATAGTAGTTTATTGTACTTTATTTATTATGCCGTGAGATTTTGTTGATAGATATTAATAAAGTTTAGATCAATGACAAACAGATTTTATATTTTGATCCTATTCAAATCCCAGTAGTCTCTTCATACTATAACATAATCTATACGCAAAACAAAAACTGAACTTGAACTTTAATATCTTGCAAAATCTTCAGTTGATGTGGTGCTGCAGGTTTTTCCGGGTTTTCCTGCAGCTGAAAAAGTAAATGCGCCAATGGAATCAAAGAAATCGACCCGGAGCACCAAATAATTTTTGTTGCTTCATAATTTCATAATTTGTATTACTTTTTTCTTCAACATATTTCAAGTAAAAATAGGACAAATTCCAAATATCAATACCAATGACGAGTAGCTAAAAAATAATTTGAATTTATTCTTTGAAATACATTTTTTGTGAAGAAGTCATCGTTATTGGCTGGTTTTCTGGTTTCTCTAAAGTTATTATTATTTGAAAAAATATCGAATTAAGGTGCAATTGAAACAAAATACTAAGGAATGAACAGTCTGCTGAAGTGTAACAAAGGACAAACTGATAAGTTAACCCCGAAGACTCCAGATTGTCGAATCCACAAATTTTGCCTACAAATAAAATAAATTGAACGAAAATTTTATTACTTAGATTTTTCAAAACATCCAAAGTTTCGGAAAGTTCTCAAAATCCACTTTGAAAAAGATATACAAGTGAATTTCAGTAGTATGGATTTCCGTTGTCTAATAATAATAACATGATTTGAAATCCATGAAAGATCAACTAAAAATGGAAATTAAAATGAATAGCTGAAAAGAACAATTATATTGAGCATAAAACCCTGAAATGGAATAACAACAAAATACAATTTGATTAAATATTTCATTTCAATTGTTCAATTTGCAATTATTTTGCTTGATTTTGAATGGGCACATTAGAAACCTCTAAAATTATCAGGGTTTCTCTATGATATTATGCATGTTATATACATATAAACATTCCTCTTGAATTACTTTATCTATTGAAAAAACTCTCTTCAAAATCCGTTGCGTAGTTTTCAAGATCTAAACATACATAGGGAGAGACAGCGGGAAGTGACTCTGTTTTATACTAGGTAGTGATTATAAAATTGTGTTACTGCAAAGTAAATAGTCAGCAACTATTTTTCTGTTTGGTTGTAACCAATTTCAGCTTTATTCATGGTTCATGAATCTTTTGAAGCACCACATTGCAAAAATATATTTAAGGGAAAAACGGTACAACAATTTTTATATTAATTTAAATACGTTTTCATGGGCTGAAAACCATTTCCATTTTACTCATATGTAGACATAACTGGCATGTATTGTATGATATAATTTAGAGAGTCAATAACTCTTTGCAATTCTTTCTTGTTTTGGTGGACATTTTATTTATTCAGGGACTCAATACGATCTGGTTCAACGTTTATCTCTGTTCAACTGTCCCATTTATTCAATTTGATTTTGCTCAAATTGAACTTTCTCTTCATTGAACTTTGCAGGTAAATAATGATCCAAATAACTTGGGTAACGGGATCACATTGTCTTAGAAAAAAAATCGTTTTTTTTGCAAACTTTTGAATTAATTTTTTTTCAGTATTCTATAACAATGAGTTTCATGAAACATATAACAACTTCATAACTGTTGTAATAAAATTATAATAAAATCACCCACCGAAAATGAGTTTCTTGATGTTAAAACTATAACTAAATTTTTCTACACCCGTACTCTAACAATACACTTATATAACCATAATCCGTTTCATAATGATATCCATTATGATACTTACAGATTTTTTATAACGATACAGATTATCAACCAATAGAAACCCATAATTTTTCAATCAAGAATCCTGTTCCTTTTTTTGTCCTAGATTCTAACCTAAGTAACTAATTGCTTTATTTGTCAAAATCAGTTTTCATATTACCTACCTATATTATCAAAATGTCTGAAAACAGCGATATAGAAGGAATACCATCGACTCCAATATTTTTAAAAGATCAGATTAATTACAGTTGTTATATTCAATATAAATATAATTAGAATCTTTATAGTTTTCATATATCCATGATAATACCATTAAGTTTGTGTTTTTTAAAAAAAATATAAGTCAATTACTGCAAATGTGTTCAATACAAATATAATCTTTATAGTTTTTCATTATTTATCGGGTTTAGAAAAAATAGCGTATGCAACTCTCATGTAATGGTTATTAATACACTTGCATATACCATACAAAACTAGCCTTTGGCTCGTTTCGTATCCCGGTTAATGCTCGTGTCTTAATAACCATCATTACATGATCGTTGCATAATATACTATTAAAAATCATCATACGTGTTAGATCGAAGACGTTTGATTTTCAAATTCAGTTGCAGTTTCAACATGGAAAAACTACTTTTTGGTGAGTAATTTTCATCATTATTTCTCACAACATTGAAAAAACGATAAGAGTGTTTTTCTGTTACCCAACAGATCTTTCTAAATATTGAACTTTACGTTTATTTGCCAAGCTCTTTGAATAATCTTTTTCAAAAATATTGGGAATAATATGGTAACACTACATATCTTGGGTGGTAAAACAATTTTTGATTTATCAGTGAGTCTTAATTGGTGATACCCTTCAAATAAATAAAATTGATGTCATCATAAATAACTCTTATCCATGATTCTGTTCCTTCTTTACAACATTGTTTATTCTTTTTATTAATTTCCTAGGTATTTAAATAATCTTTACCACCTAGAAGTACTCAATTTGCCTCATCTACCATCATAAAATCCCCATAAATAGCTTCATCTTTATAATTGCATCGCAAATTAACAACACCTACTGGTTTATTAAATTGATGAAGAAAAAAAAATGAAACTTTCTATGTTTTTTACCACTTTCATTTGTAACTAAAGTTACTGCAGTGTCGTCCTATAAGGACATTTTCAAACTTATACATTAAACTCAGTTTAATTGATATTATATTGTCCTTATAGGACGAAACTGCAATAACATTAGTTACAAATAAAAGTGGTAAAAACATAAAAAGTTTCAATTCTTTTTTCTTTTCTGCTGGTTCAACTAATGAACCTCTAAATTCTTTAAAAATATGATATATTGATCTGATATTGAAGTTCCATCACGAAGTGAACACTTTCAGGAGCATGACACTAACACTGAGAATAATAAATTTCACTAGTTCGGACCTCCCTTGTCTTATATTATATAAAATGATTCGAAATCCCTGAAATAACTGAAAAAAAATTATATCAAGCAAAAAACCTGAAATGAAATAATAGTAAATTAAAATACAAGTAAAATTGAACAAATTGAACAAAAATAAATAAAATTAAATGAAGAAGTTAAGAGATTCCAAACCAAGTTAATTCACGACGTTTCGATTGTTAGTATCCACAATCGTCTTCGGGTGATGACTGGACCGATTCCTCCGTGAGTTGACTATTTATAGGAATAGCACAGCACTTTTGGACCCATAAACGTAACATCGAATGTCCCAAGCTGATATCATACACAAAGAGGAACATTGGTTTAGGAGGAAATGTAAAGAAGCCGCATACATGTTATCCAACAATGTATTCAGCCAAGCCATGTATTCAGCCATATGGAAACCCATAATCAAGCGAAAAATGGTCAGCTCCCGCTAAACGATCATCTCCCACTGAATCGGTGAAGCGAAAAAACGAAAGCAGAGATAAATGAAAGTACTCAAGTGACCTATAAATAGTCAACTCACGGAGGAATCGGTCCAGTCATCACCCGAAGACGATTTTGGATACTAACAATCGAAACGTAATGAAATAACTTGGCTTAGAAACACTAAGAATAATTTTCTACATTTTTGACCCGACAAGAATCAGCGAGATAATTACAATGTTTCCAATGTTAGGAATCACACGTTAAAATGTAAGACCTCGTTAGTCCTTAGCTCGCACAAGTTTCTCAACTTCTGAGAGTTGTCGTTCGTATAGGGGCGACAGCTGATTAACGGAAAAACAGATACCAAGTTAATTCACGACGTTTCGATTGTTAGTATCCACAATCGTCTTCGGGTGATGACTGGACCGATTCCTCCGTGAGTTGACTATTTATAGGAAGAGCAGAGCACTTTTGGACCCATCAACGTAACATCGAATGGTCCCAAGCTGATATCATACACAAAGAGGAACATTGGTTTAGGAGGAAATGCAAAGAAGCAGCATACATGTTATCCAACAATGTATGCAGCCAAGCTAGCGTAGAGATACACAACGTGTTAGGAATCACACGTTAAAAGGTAAGACCTCGTTAATCCTTAGCTCGCCACAAGTTTTGACTTCTGAGGGTTGTCGTTCGTAGGTGTGCGACAGCTGGTTAACGGAAAAACATATTTTTTTTAAACAGATATGGAAACCCATAATCAAGTGAAAAATGGCCAACTCCCGCCAAACGATCATCTCCCACTAAACCTGTGGAGCGGAAAAACGAAAGCAGAGATAAATGAAAGTACTCAAGTGACCTTCAAATAGTAAGCTCACGAAGGAATGAGTCCAGTCATCACCCGAAGACGATTGTGGATACTAACAATCGAAACGTCGTGAATTAACTTGGCTTGGAAACACTAGGAATAATTTTCTACATTTTTGACCCGACAAGATTCAGCGAGATAATTAACAATTCTACATCCCTTACCATGTTTCCATATGCAGGACCTTATCTGAGCCCATGCTCACTTTGAAATCTCATACATTCAAACTTATTATCATCATTATTATATTCTTCATTCTTTCGACTCATATTCTTGTCTTTACTCATTATTCTGCTTCTTCATCCTTTCCTCACGGAACTCACATCTGCGATACATTCCTTTTGTTCGAATTGCAAATTTTTGGATTTGCCCTGTTCACTGGTGATGCAAAAATGAATTGCCTTTTCCAAGGTCACCTTTTCGATTCTCAGCAGGGTATTGGGAACACTTATCCAAACCAGCATTTATAAATCGCGTGCCAATATTTAAAAAAAATATGTTTCATAATTTTGTTTTGTTTAAAAAGGCCCCATAAAAGA